GACATATACAATAAATAGAATATAAATAAACTCATTTTAGAATAGGTGCTTCTGAAAATATTAGTCAAATTTTTATTTACTTTATATATATATATTTATTGTTTACTGTATTTTTAAAGTTTCTTTATTTTTGAAAGTATGAGCAGGAGAGGGGCAGAGAGAGGGAAACAGGACACGGAGAATCCCAAGCAGGCTCCTGGATGCCAGCACAGAGCCCAATGTGGGGCTCAAAATCATGAACTGTGTGATCATGACCTGAGTTGAAATCAAGAGTATGATGTTTAACTGACTGAGTTACCCAGGCACCTCTGGTTATTATATTTTAAATGTACTAATGTAAAGTCTAGTCAGAGGAAAGCGATGGTGACTCCTTAGTAAAATAAGAATTTTGAGATGTGAAAATTACATTCTGAATTTATCTAGTTTAAAATTTTTAAACAACTAAAGCACTTCTCTAGGTTCAATAATTTTTTTTTTTTAAACTTTTTAACGTTTAATTAATCCAAAGCAGGCTACAGGTAGCCTGACACCGGGCTCGAACTCAGAGACTGCAAGATCATGGCCTGAGCTAAAGTCAGATGCTCAACCAACTGAGCCACCCAGGCACCCCAAAATTTTTTAAATGTTTATTTACTTTTAAGAGAGAAAGTGCGACAAAACTTGAGTGGAGGAGGGGCAGAGAGGAAGACACAGAATCTGAAGTATGCTGCAGGCTCTGAGCTATCAGCACAGAGCCAGATGTGGGGCTTGAACCCACCAATGGTGAGATCATGACCTGAGTGAAGTCGGACACTTAACCGACTGAGCCACCCAGGCGCCCCTATTTTTTTTTTATATATATAAATTAATTTAAAATGAGCCATAACCTTTTATTATAACTTACCAAGATTTTAAATGATTAATGTATACACAGATGAGTAAATATTTTCTTTTGTATATTAATGTTGCAGTGGCACTTTCTTGCTGAATTAAAAGCTAAACTTGAGTGCCCATTTAAAGTGGCTTATTTGGGTTTGATGGAAAAAATGTGAAAAAATTACACTATCAGATATTTGTGTGTGTATATATGTATATATGTTTACAAAACCTTTATACATAAGTATTTATTTATATATAAATAAATATATAAATATAAAGGTTTTTCTCCCCCTCTGGGAATAAGCATTGCAATGTGATAAGGTTTTATTTTTCTTGTTTACTATAGTAACGATGATTGCCTATAATTGATATTCTCTGAACATGCTTATTTCAGCCACTCTCTGGCAGTTATACCTTGTGAATACAGTTGTTTGCGAATATGACTATTTGTTGATTAATGGTTCACAAAATTTAATGCCTTGTGTTTTAACTGCCCCTCATTTAGTTTCAAACTCCTAAAGTCATAGTTACTCAGTAGATTACTCTCAAGTGTAAGCACTAACAAGGGACAAGATGGAAAATTTCATGACATGGAAACTTAATGAAAAACTAATGTGAGCATTATATACCTAATTTTCATATATTTTCATTTCTTTATTCCCTAATAGTAAAAATGTCACATTTAAATATTGATTACTTTTATTATTGTGCTGCATTAAAAACTTTTATTTTTTTATTAAAAAATTTTTATTGTAAAAGCAGGCTGTAAATACTAACTACAGAGGTTTGTGGTAGCTTGCATGAACTCTTCTCTCACAAAATCTTTCAAGTGAAGCACAGAGCCCTGAGAGAGAAATGGGTTCTTACATAATGAATAATGTGAAGACTTAGACATGTAAAGAATTCTGACTTTTCTAAATTTTTCCATCTGTTATTTCACATTGTTTCCAGAACAACTCTGTGGGCTGGTTAAGACAGCTTCTCTTAAGCCTATTTTACATATTTCTCTTCCATTTCTAATAATCTTGTCATGATTATGGCCAGAGTCTTGGATTAGGGCTATATTACTTAGCACACTAGTTATGAGAATGTACTCCCTTCTGGAGTCCCTGCCTCTGATCTACCCCACTGCCAATTGCTGTAAGAATAATCTTGATCTAGGGCACTGAGTATGGCACTTCTTATCTTCAAAAACATTTAATTATCTCATCCCTATCTGCTTGTTTGTAAAGTTCTTTATGTGACTGTAACATACACCTGATTTTCTAAGTGGTTTAAAATATTCTAAATTCATTAGATCCACTTGGTTGTCTGTGCAAATGAGGCCAAGCAAAGAACGATGTAGGGTAGTTAAATAAACAAAACATAATGTAATACTTTAAGGAAAAAACACAAATTAAACACAAATATTTCATATTTGATGAAGAGCTTGCCAGTATACTCCTCGTTAGGGAAATTTAGAATTAAAATGCTCAGTAATGAAATGATTGTAGCTTTCTAGAATGTTGACTGACAGGTTTTGACCTGCTAATGAAATTGGCATAATATTTTAATGAATTATAACTGATAAAATGAGAATAATGAGACCCAGAGTTAAACTAAATGGAACAGATTACATGGGAGATAGAGTTAAATTTCTCATAAAAGATATCTGATGACAATGTAATTACCAAATAATTATGTAGTAAATTATATTTTTTATCTCTACCAGTGGGAAAACTCTATTTGATGATTCGCTTTAAACTTTGTTAAATAAACTTTCAGTAAAATTAATCAGCCCGTCAAAAACTGATTTCAGAAAAATTTAAATTAATATGATGTACTAGAAGAATGAAGATGGTCTTATTAATCATCCTAATCTACTTTTATGTTTCAGCTTCCACCAAGATACTTCGGTTACTGACATGATTTTGTAATTTGAATACATAAGGATATTGATCTGTCAATGCTATAGCCAAGAATTTTGCATTTCCTAGGATTAGGAATCTCTCTCTCTCTCTTTCACACACACACACACACACACACACACACACACAAACACACACACACACAGCTTGTATATTAAATAAATTTTTACAAAATTTCAAAATCAGGGAAGAATGAACCTGACCAAGCCCAATGCTAGGATCAATCATTTCAATGATAATGTATATTCACCAGGATCCTTGCTTCCATTTCTCCTTATTTTCCCAACTACAGCTACCCTTCAGCGATCCATCACTTGATGAATCTACCTATTCATTTCTTTGATTCTGTTCCTGGCCTGCAAAATGTTGCTGGACAAATCTCCAAGTTAAGTCAATAAGCTCCACATAGGCCTTATGCTTCCTAGCGCCACTGGAGTTCCTGCATGCTTCCTCATGGTCTCGTCACCTTTTTTTATCATGTTCTCTGCAACTGACTTTACTGGGTTTTCCAAAAACTTGTTCTTCTTGTCAATGGCATACTTCACCCTCCCAATGCTGCCAAGAAGAAAATATGGCCATTAGAAAAGACCACTTCCAAACTTTGTTTTTGATTTGCATGTGACATCATATGCAATATATGGTCTCCTTGTTTCCTGTTAAAAAAAAGGAAGAAGAGTTGATTTTCCTTTCCTAGTTTAATCACTCACTCTTACTCAGTGTGGTAAACAGAATAATGGTCCCTCCAAAATGTCAACATCTTCATATATGGCCCTTGTAAATATTTTACTTTATGTGACAAAAGAGACTTTGCAGATGATTAAGTATAGAATCTTGAGTTAAGGAGATTGTTCTGGATTATCTGAGTTGGCCCAATTTGCTCACAAGATCCTTGTAAAAAGTAAATACAAGGTCAGAGTCAGAGGTGATATGAAGATTTGACAACAGAAGTTGAAATATGAGAGAGAGAGAGAGAGAATTTAAGATCCCATGATGCTGGCTTTAAAGATGGAGGATGAAGCTACAAACCAAGGAATGCAGGTATCCTCTAGAAGCTTGAAAAGGGAAGCAAATGGATCATCCCCTATAGCCTCCAGGCAGGAGCTCAGCCCTACTGACATCTTGAGTTTTTAGCCTCATAAAACCCATTTTGGACTTCTAACCTCCAGAACTGTAAGATAATAATTTTCATTGTTGTAGGCTACCAAACTACAGCATCAGTAGGAAATTAATACACCAGTATCTCAGTTCTCATCATTCATAAAGAAATATTATCCCATTATCTTCTCTATTTTCTTTACCAACAATTTGCCTATTCTTTTATCTCTTTTTTTTCAGGTTGTAAAAAAAAAAAAAAAAAAAAAGCAAACCAACCAACCCAGCCTTCCATTATTCTGCTTAAGTGACTGCACTTATATCTCTTCTTCCTTTCAGTATCACTCTTATTAAAAAATACTTAGTTCTTCAATCTCTGCCCCTTAAACCTTTGTTATCGAGTCTCTGACTCCTGCTCTCCCTGAATGGCTTTTCCAACCTACATGGCAATTTCTTCTTATTTGAAAAGTTTAACTAAGCTTTTCTCTCACCTGAGGGATTTGCAGTTTTTGACAGTAATTGCCTGTTGTCTCATGGCTTCAGGTTATCATTTTGATTAAATTTGGGATTCTTCATAGGCTCCTTTTCCTCTTTACTCTGGTCACTATTTATATATTGGTAGATGACTCAAGGTCTATTTTTTTTTCTCTTTCATTTTTATTATCCATAAGAACTTTGGGTGATCTGATCTATTCCCATGGTTTTCATTACCAGATATAAGGGGACAACTTCTAATCAGCGAGTCTCAACTTTGCTCTTGAATTCCAGATACATTTATCTACCAGAAAAGTCTGTCTATTTGTCTTCCAGGCATTCCAAACATTATTTTAACCTAGAGAAATTCTTCTCATGTTTAGTGTCTCATAGAAGAAACAAGGAATCGCCCTTAGCTTCTCCATCCTACTGATTCTTCTTTCTACTTTGCTGAGTTGAGTTTATTTCATTAACATCAACCAAATTAATCTTTGTGCCCCACAGTGACACCACCATTTGAAAGGTTACTCCATGTTTCCTCTAGAAGATTTAAAAGTCTCCTAATTGGTCCTTCTACCACAGACTTCCACACCTCACAACATGTCCTCATCCTGCCACCAGCGTTATGTTACCACAGATAAAACATACATTCCTTAACATCACCTCTAAGTGCTTGCTTCATCAGCACGTACAGTAAAATTGGAACAATACAGAGAAGATTAGCATGGCCCCTGTGCAAGAAAAATATGACCTTTAAGATCTATTGTAGCCTTCTGGCCAACTTCCCAATCTTTCTTCTCTCCACATCAGATAATCCTTTGTTCTGAATATTGAGAAAAGCTCCTTATTCACAAGATCTGCCTGATCCTTTCTTCACTGTATGTCTTTTCACTCATTCTTCTTAAAACTTGCTTTTTTTTTAATCTAGAGAAATCTGTCAATTTGTTAAGCTCTTTGAATCTTTTCTCAAGTAGCCAGAACCAGTCACTAAATGTATGTTTCTAAATCACTCTGTTCCTGTCTATGGCATACCACTTGCATTGTACTGTAATTATTAGTTTTAGTATTCTGTATGACTGGTCTTTGAATTCTTTTTTAAAAATTTCTTAATGTTTTATTTATTTCCGAGACAGAGAGAGAGACAGTGTGAGCAGGGGAGGGTCAGAGAGAGCAGGAGATACAGAACCTGAAGCAGGCTCCAGGCTCTGAGCTAGCTGTCAGCACAGAGCCTGTCGCAGGACTCAAATCCACGAACCATGAGATAATGACCTGAGCCAAAGTAGGACAGTTAACCAACTGAACCACCCAGGTGCCCCTGGTATTTGAATTCTTTAAAGGAAGGCTATATCTTCTTCATGTTTATACACCTAGTACTTAGCATTGTGCTTGACATATGGGAAACATTAAGTAAAATGTAGCATGGACCAATGACATCATAAATTGGTGTGAACAAAAGGTCATGTAATAATTTTCTGAAAAACACACTCAAAAGGTCTTTAAGTAAAACTACGGGAAGCTGTGAAAGAATTGATTATGAAAGTAAACATGGTTGATGTGGCAGTAGAGATAACAGTTCGAAGATTTGACATTCCTAGTGAGGAAGGCCCTTTACTTTCCCGTTGGTTGTATACACAGATGAATAAGATGCGATCTGTGTTCTCAAAAGATTATAATCTGTAAGGAAAAGCAGTCATGTGAACAGTTTAGTGGAATAAAGAACTACAAAAGCTATGCTAGATGTGTATACTGGATACTAGCATCATACAGAGAGAAGGTAGTGAGTTCCTTATGGGGTGAGTTAAGGCTTCTTAGAAAAAGTAATTAAATCAAGCAAAAAAGGGAAACATTTTTGAGGAAAAAAGCAAATATTACTACCAGAAATTATAAAATATAAGATGGGTAATGTATGAGCTGGAGCGTTGGTTTTTATGTTCCTCTTGTAAGCCAGTGGAACATGTGTCATTTTCATGTCCATTTATATATATTTGAAAGCTGTATTCTGATTGAAAATTTCCTTTATTACAAATTAGTGTGCATAATTGATTTTATTAAGCAACCATATTGAATTTGTGCCTGGCTAGAGGAGAAATCGAAATATTTCAATACAATCTCTGATCCTATTATGGTGGGAAGAGAACAAAGCATGTAGTCAGGTGAAGTGATAGAGCCTGACATCTAGTTGGGCCTGGCATCAGTTTAGAGACAATTTAGGCTTTGTTCTTATTCCCACGTTTTTTAGAGATGTGATCAAAGGCATTTAGATCTCTCAGACCGCACAGTTTGAAACTGACAGTCACCTCAAAGAAAAGGTTCTGAAGACTCTTTGGGGATGTTATCAGAATACTATCAGTCAATTATTATTGTAAATTAAATATCCCTGATAAAAATCATTAAAACTTGTACATACATTTAATAATTTTAATTTGTAGTTATTTAGTCCCATCAAGGGAGAATTTATTTACACACTAACAGTGTATTTTAATAAATTTTTGCTGCAATTTCGATACAGGATGAGGCTAAGATACCTATGTGCATTTGATACTGATTGTTTTTTCCAGAGTGTTACATTTGCCCAAGGAAAAGAGTAATCATTATACATAATGAAAATCAGATGGTTTTGAAGTCTACTGTATCTAGGTAGGAAAAGTTCCCAAAACGTATTTGTCTTCTTTGTTAAGAATGTTTTTAGCTGTTGGGGCACCTGGGTGGCTCAGTCAATTAAACATCCGACATGGCTCTCAGGTCATGATCTCTCCAAGCCCCACATTGGGCTCTCTGCTGTCAGCATGGAGCCTGCTTTGGATCCTCTGTCTCCTTCTCTCTCTGCCCCATCTCTGTGCATGCTGTCTCTCTTTCTCTATCAAAACTAATAAATATTTAAAAATTTTTTATCTGTTCCTATGTTTTTATACATTCAAACTAATTTTATAATCAGCTGTGAAATTTCTTTGAAACCATGTAAGATTTTTATTGAAATCGCAATTAATCTAAAAAATTTTTTTTAATATTTAGTTTTGAGATAGAGAGGGACAGAGCATGAGTGGGGGAGGGACAGAGAGAGAGGGAGACACAGAATCCCAAACAGGCTCCAGGCTCTCAGCTGTCAGCACAGAGCCTGATGCAGGGCTCAAACCCATGAACCATGAGATCATGTCCTGACCTGAAGTTGGACACTTAACCAACTGAGCCACCCAGGTGCCCTTAAAGAGCATTAATTTAAAAAGAATTGAAATTTTGTGTCAATTGATGAATATGGTATACATCTCTATCTGTCTCAATATAAGGATTTAAGTTTGTCTACGGAAAGATGTAAAATGTTTGTTAAATTTATTCCTAGGTATCTATCTTTATTATTATTTTACTATAAATGGTATTTTGACCTACTTCACATCTACCTTAATAAAGCCTGTCTAGCACTTTTCCAAAGAAGACATCCAGATGGCCAACAGACACATGAAAAGATGCTCAGTTTCACTCATCATCAGGGAAATACAAATCAAAACCACATTGATTTGTATATCACATCGAGGTGAGATACCACCTCACACTGGTCAGAGTGACTAAAATTAACAACTCAGGAAACAACAGATGTTGACGAGGATGTGGAGAAATAGGAACCCTCTTGCACTGTTAGTGGGAATGCAAACTGGTATGGCTACTCTGGAAAACAGTGTGAAGGTTCCTCAAAAAATTAAAAATAGAATTACCCTACTACCCAGCAACAGCACTACTAAGAATTAATCCAAAGGATACAGGAGTGCTGATTCATAGGGCACATGTACCTCTGATGTTTATAGCAGCACTATCCACAATAGCTAAATTATGGAAAGAGCCCAAATGTCCATCAAATGATGAATGGATAAAGAAGATATGGTTTATATATACAATGGAATACTACTTGGCAATGAGAAAGAATGAAATCCTTCCATTTGCAACAACGTGGATGGAACTGGAGGGTATTATGCTAAGTCAGTAAGAGAAAGACAGATATCAGATATTTTCACTCATATGTATAATTTGAGAAACTTAACAGAAGACCATGGGGGAAGGGAAGGGGAAAAATAGTTTCACACAAAGAGGGGGGCAAACTATAAGAGACTCTTAAGTACCAAGAACAACCTGAGGGTTGATGGGAGGATGGGAAGAAGAGAAAATGGGTGATGGGCATTGAGGAGGGCACCTGCTGGGAGAAGCGGTGGGTGTTGTATGTAAGTGATGAATCATGGGAATCTACTCCCAAATCCAAGAGTAAACACTGTATGCTAACTAACTTGACAATATATTATATTAAAAAAAAAAGCTCATCTAAGAAATTTCCTAGAATGATTATTTTAATTGCAAGAATGACTGTAACTATGTATTTATTAACTAGAGAAAGTATAAATATGCTCTCTCCACACAATGGAATATGGTACGTAAAGTAAATTTGAGTGAAAAACAGTATATACAATAATATATCTTAGAAAATGCTATTTTAAAAAATTCAGAGGGCTATGTACAATATGTAATGTTTATAAGCTCAAAAATAAGCAAAATGAATATATAATGTTTTAGCAATAGTCACATATATGGTAAAGGTATCTTTAAAAAACAAAATAATAACCTCAAATTAATGATAACAATTACCTTGAGGTTAGTAAAATAGAGAATAGGATTAGGGAGGAATAAAAAACTTCAAAAGAGAGATAATATTCTAGCCTTAATTTGGGTGGTGTTTCATGTATGTTCATTTTATTACTGTACTTTATAAGTTACATACATTGTTTTCTATGCATCAAATATTAGATGTTGCTTTTTAAGTAAGAGGAATAGCTCAATGACTCTTAAAAATGGTTAAGAATTCACAAATAAATAACAGATCACTAAGAATTACTGCAAATCCTTTTACTACTAACTTGTAATCCTCTTATACAAGGCCTGTGAACACCAAATCCTTAGAAAGAGGCTTTTATAAGCTTTGTACGTAGCCTTAGACATAATAAGAATTATGTTTTCTTAATACATTAAATTGATTCTATGCTTGAAAATATGATACCCTTTGAAATAAATAAAATATGGCAGTATATTATTAGAATATCAGCATTATAAAATTACTTTCTTCAGAACTTTACAAAAGTACCATCTTTTTAATGAGGCCAATACTGACTACCCTATTATTACTGCAAGCTGCTTTCCCCATTCTCTAACTGTGGTCTTTTTTTCTTTCTCTTCATTCATAGTACTTAATTAACATCTTTGACCATACTATGTAGTTTATTTATAATATTTATTGTGTTTAATATCTACTTTCTATCACTAGAAGGCAGTATGGGAGCTAGCTTCCAAGACGGCCCCCTATGTTCCACTTCTAGTGTTTGCATCTGGCTGTGGTACTCTCCCACTTTGAATCATGTGTGGTCTGTGAAAAATAGAATACTGTAGAATTGGTTTTGTATAATTCTCAAAACTAGGTCATAAAAATATTTCAGTTTCTACCTTGTCCTGTCTTGGATCATTTACTCTAGGTAAAGCCATCTGTCCTATTATAAGGACCTTCAAGTAGCCTTATGGAAAGGGACACATGAGAATGAACTGAAGATTCTTGCTAATAATGAGAAACAGCTTGCCAGCCAAGTGAGTGAATGAGCTACCTTGAAAGTAGATTTTCCAACCCCAGTCATGCTTTCTGGTAACTGTATCTCTGGCCCCCAATTGACTACAACCTCATAAGAGACACTTAGCCAAAATCACCCAGATGAGTTGCCCCTGAATATGTGTTTCTCAGAAACTATGAGA